TCCTGGGAGGGGTTGACCTCGGCGGCGGGCTGGGAGGGGGTGAAGTCTTGAGTGTAGGACTAGGCAGGGAAGGAGACACTCTGCTTGGTGGCGGGGTTGACAGCAATGCTGTCTGAGATGGGGACCGCTGCATGGGAGGAGGAGGAGACTTCCTGACAGGTGGGGGAGGCGGCGGCGGCGGCAGCAGTTTCTTGATGGGCGGGGGCGGCATATGTTTGGGTGGAGGTGGTGAAGAGTTGTAATTTCTGAAGGCATGTCGCCTGAGCTCTAACACGCTGCACGGGTTCCCTTCTCCCTTCCGGACTCCAACCGCATTATTGCAACGGAGATTGTATCCTGTGTTTTTGTCGCCCCAGTTGTAGTTACCCTTGTTGGAGTTACCTGTGAAGTGTAGGCCAGTGGAGATGGTTGAGGAAGGACGGTAGTGATTCCATCGCTTCAGACCCTCTACATCCAGTCACCATCTTCCGCTATCCAGCTCACCGATGTTATGGTCGCCAACATTGTTGCTGCCAAAGTTATCTTTGCCCTTGTTGCCTGATCCAATGTTGCCATGTAAATCTGCTGTGCAGGCCATTTGTCCTGCCCTCAGGCGCTCCACACCCACCAGGATCTCTGTTGAGCGAGCCGTATTGACTGTGAAGGGGCTCATGTTGATGGCGTCGACAGACAGTCCAAGGATATGGAGGGTACTCGTCCTGATAGAGCCCTGCTTGCTGTAGCCCAGCTCCCTGTGACGACAAATAGCGACATGGATGAGGCCGAGGTGGAACGCAGAAAGCAATCCTTCCTTTTGGTTTGCAGGACACCAGCCCACAGCCACAGGCGTTGCCCGTTGTACCCCCCAGGATCTCACCTACAGAACGGTCCAGCGCTCGTGGCAGTAAGAACGGAGACATGCGCTCCGTATCTGCAGTGTTGACATTAGAAACGGTGCTCAGTGAGCAAGCGATCCGGACTGGAAGCTGCAGGCGGAGCTGCCCCCGTGTAGTGCACAGCAATCGCAACTCGATGGATAGGTTCACACTGAATGTGAGAAAAACATGTTTAAGTACTCACATGGCGGCTGGAAGGCAGTAGAACGTGGACGTGCATGGCCCCTGGCATATGAGAGGTGGGGTCGATGGATGGTGAAGGGTGGGCCTCGCGGACGTGCATTTGACCCTTACTCTCGAGTGACCCACATACCACAAGGTGAAGTAATTACCTTGCTTGCAACAGCGAGGCTTAGAAGGCAGAGAGCTATACCCACACAGGACGACAGCCCGGAAGTCCGCATAGCGCTGCTGCTGGCGGGGGGGGACGACGCGCAGCTATATTCTGTGACCTGAAGAGGCGAGGTTCCGCTGAGCGTGTGAGATGATGTTTTGGAACATGTGACTTTCAAGTCGTGTACAGGGTGTCATGACCCCCTCCACTTGCGTGCACGAGGGTGCCATTACCCCTCCGGAGACCGGAGACCGGTGCGGGTCTTAGAATGATCAACCGGACTGAGGTCACCTTAGTTCAGGCAATGTTCTCCGAGACCGGGAGATTCACGGAGCTCAGGACCCCGCCACATGACGCAAACTTCCCATAAACCAAACAAATGATACTATTCGCCGCTTCAGTGGCCAGGGCGGAGGGGGCGGCCATCATTCCGCCAACAGCATTTGCTTTTCATGGCTGAATGGGCATGCCATCTATCAGCACGTTACATACTCTTCTGTAAAACATAAGACACCCGTCGCGATGCCGACTTCAGAGGCGACAGTCCGCAGTCGGCGCACATCGAGTGCTGCCTCCTGGACATCATCCGGCCCTAGGAGGCCGAAGAAACATCCCTTCTCAGGGCACAGGTGGACTCCCGACAACCGTCGCCGCCCGAACGCTGGTCCGCCTTGCAGATATGAATCTGAATACATAGCAGGTACACGGTCACTTTGGCATGTAACTCCCTAGTAAATTAGTCCAGCACCTTTTGCCACCCCCCCCTTAAGACATGTGTAGATGCGGCATGCTCTTCGCTCAACATTTCCAACTGTAAAAGGATGGCCTCAGCCAACCGTGCAGGTAGCACTGGAAGCACAGCTTCCGCCAGGACTTTGCACGATGCACATCCCTCCTCAAGCACTCCTATATCCTATTTTTGGTCAGATTCTCGCCGCCAGCCTCAGGAGCTGCTCGTCGATCTCTGGGGCGCCCTCGAGAGGTAGGGGCGGGCCACCAGGGATGCTCAGCGGCGACAGTGGTGTCACGGCGTCGTCAATGATTTGCAGGGCGGTGGCACTGTCCAGGATCTGGGTCTCGATTTTCTATGGTTGACGTGGTCTAGGAGGCAAGGTGGTGTGATAAGTTCGACATGTAACACCGGTGTCCAGCTGCGGCTCTTGGTAGAGCTGGCCTTGGATGCCACGCTGAGCTCTGTGCGTGGAAGGTTGGGCACAACCACAGATCGGTATGGGTTAGCGATGACGATGTCAGTCTTTGATCATGATTCGTGGACACCGATGGCAGCCTATTGCAAGTGTCTCTACGATGCGCAGCTCACTTCATTTCGGTGCACTCCCTATTGCCTCTTGCATAGCTGCACGCATGCAGGCAAGGCCTTCATCTGAGGAGCCGATCTCGTGGCCCCGGGAGATCCGCACGTGGGTGTCAGCAAGGTACGGGAACTTTGTGCAACAGGAGCTGTTGCCTTGTCTAGACAAGGCTGAGGACCAAGCAGCCACATATCATACTAGCATCCACCCTGTGGAGCTCTGCGATGGGATGGTTCTACGACCCCACCTGCCAGGTGGGGGCATTGGGGTATGCTGAAACGATGCCCATGCAATCACAAGTGATTGCAGCAACTCTCCAGCACACACTTGCATCCTTCAAAGCCCCGGTCCCTCCCAGATGGGTCAGCATGAGCCTGACATAGTATGTTGAGCATTGTGGAGCTGTATGATGACGATGGTGAGTGCTCGGGATACGGGCTTGGCGGATGTAATGAGGATCCCAAGACAGCTTTAATCCTAAAATTCTCCCCGGATTGCCCATGTGAGGGACCTCGAATGACAAGGTCAAGGACAGAGAAGGGCGACCCGAACATGTGAATCAATCTGGATCTGGCAGTTGTTCCTTCTTCTCGGTCTGACTACGCGTTAACGCATGTCTCCCCCGGAATCTGAAGAGTTTCTGGATGGTTTAAATCCTGGTCACAGTCCATTCATAAATTTTCGCATTTTCTTTTCTGTTTCCGTGTAGATTGCATTGGCCATGCACAGATGCACTCTGGAGCCCTAAATTTCACGCTTCTCTTTCGACTCAGCTCCGTGCTGACCGTCTGGGGTTCTGACGCTTTCACCCACCAGTTGTCTTCGCTCCTCTTGTTTCATGACACACTGCTCGCCTGTGAGGTTTCGATTCCCTGGCGCAGATGTTCTGAGCCCAGCAGGGCGGGACCAGCATTGTCGATGCAGGTAATTGGTGTGATCTCCTAGCAGGGGAGGTTAAACACGGGCACCCGCCTGGTCCCTGGGTTGAGCTTTCAAGTGCTTGCGCCGAGTCTGCAGGGTGGTGTTGGTAAGCGAATTTCGCACTTCCAGACTGTGCGGTGTCTGCCACATCGCCCTGCAGCCCCACAAGCATTGGCAGGAGGGGAAGGATGGTGAGATGGCATTGAAGAACGAATGGGGAATAAGGGGTGCTTGAAATCCCACAACAATGCATGTGTGGTTGATTGAGACGTGAACGCAGCACTCAGCATACTGCTGCCCTGCCTGATTACCACCGGGAGCCCTGCCCATAGTGGGCACCCCACCCCCCCCCTCTCCTGTGCTACCCCACACTCACCCCACCCCTTTGGTGATCCCTCGTGGGCTACACCGCGCAAACTCACCTCATCCAAATCTGAACAGTGTATGCAGCCGCTCCTGATTCTTGGTGATACAGACATCCTCTCATTGGAAGAGATGAATCCCTGGAAGTTCGAAGTCGGCTGCACCCACTTGCCACCTCTGAATGATGGACAAGCGCAGTGTAGCCCCAAATGGGGCTACAACGGGAAGAGGAGGAGGGGGGCCATGGATAACACAGGAGCAGGGGAGGGAGGGTGGCCACCAAAGGGTAAAGGGCGGGGCTTCATGGCCATGATCAGGCCAGGCAGGAGTACAGTGGGTGCTGCGTAGACCTCGGTCGATTACCCATACATTGCAGTGGGAATTGAGACACCGCTTGCACCACCCATCGACTCTTCAGCACCAGCACTCCATCCCTCCCCTCCCTCCAGTACTTGTGGGGCTGTAGGATGGTGTAGCAAACATCGCACAGGTTGGACGTGCGACACTGCTTTATCACCACCACCCTGCAAAACTCCCGCAAGCATTTGAGAACCTCAATCCAGGGATCAGGTGGGTGCCTCTGTGACTCCCTTCCAATCCATGGCACACCAATAGCCGGCATCGACAATGATGGGCTCATCCCAAGGGGCCTGAGACCTCAGCGCCCAGGCATACTTTACCACCCGCCGGCAGAGGATGTGGTCCCCGACTCGCAGCTCTTGGAAGGGCAAGGCCTTTGCCCACTCCATGACCTTTCCTGAGTCTGATAAATCCCAGGCCGCGCATCCACACTGGTGCACCTGTGTGCTGGGATGTTTAAACGTGGTGGATCACAGTATGCCTGCATTGGAAGCAACTCAGTGACGGAGAGAGCGGTGGCGGGATGTGTCGTACGAGATGGCGAGCACGCATTCATATATGGTTATCTCAGTGCAGATTGCATCGGTGATGACTGATCAGGTCGAGGTCCGGTGTTCGATCCACCGTGGGAGCAACCCCAAAGCTCCTATAGCTCAGTGGTAGTAGCGCGACTTTAGTATCCACATCGCATACAATTTTGCTTTTGCCGGCCACGACTTCAGCCTGTTGCTTCAGGAGTGGAGTGTCAGACTGAGTGCCAACTGAAGGTCATGCGCGGAGGCCTGTTCGAACCTGAGCCCGGTGGCTGTGCACCCAAGGTAACCTCCTGGGCTTACACCCGCAATCTACAGGGGAAGGGACTGCACGATCAGTGTACAAGAGCGCTCAGCGTACAGAGTGGCGTGCATGCCGCCCGCCCCTCTCAACAGCAATAGGCACGGGACTGGGGGTTCGCAGCGTGTCAGCACGCCCACAAGGGTCCTCGACCCCTAGCCCTTCCCTGGGCGCCAGCTCGACCCCCCGGTATGCCACGCTGCCGCCGCCGCGCCGCGCCGCGACCGCATCCAGTGCGGTAAAGGCGACGGTGCTTGCCCCCCAGCCGCAGGCCACCACCGCAAACGCCCAGGCAAAGACCGAGGTGGCGCCGCTGCGGCTGTAGATGGCGCCGCTGATCAGGCTGCCGAGGCCGTAGCCCAGCCCTGCAGGGGCAGGGGTTTGCGAGGGTGGGGATGCCGGAACATTGCTTCAGATCAGAAAAACAGGGGGATGCATGCGTGCGCTTCCTGGAGTGGTGAAGGAGTGGTTGTGGCTGCCGGCCCCCATGCTTCCAGCGCCCACTCCCTCGAACACCCCTCCCGTGACGCCTGCTGCCACCCTGCAGGCCCCCCTCCCCCACCGCCACTCTCCACCTTCACTCTCCATCCTGTCTCCCTCTCCCCTCCATTGTCCCACCCTTTTCCCCCCTCCCCTTGCTCCCCTCACCCATGTAGCTGCCCTGGAAGGCCGCCTGCATGCCGGCCTTCCTCCCCGGCGGTGCCTCGGCCGCCGCCCAGGCCGTCCCCGTCGCCCAGGCCAGCCCAAAGGTGAAGCCGTGCAGGAGCTCCACGGGCAGGACCAGCCAGGGCGAGGGCCAGCCCCGCAGCGTGGCATAGCACGCCAGGCGCGCCAGGAAGGCGGCGAAGACGAGGTGCAGGCAGCCGCGCCGCCCCAGCGCGGCCTGCAGGCGCCGCGCGTGCCAGAAAACGATGGGCTCCGCCACGCACGTCACCGTCAGCGTCAGCCCCGCCAGGGCAGGCGGGCCGCCCAGGTCGCGCAGGGCCAGGAAGAGGAAGCTCTCGATGGCGCCCATGGCATAGCCCATCACCGCCACACTGGCCAGGAAGGCGAGGATGGGGGGGTGGATCAACAGGCGCCAGGCCGGCGGCTGCCCGGGCGAGGGGGGGTCCGGGGCACCCGTGAGGCGGCCAGAGGGCGAGGGCTGACCCACGGGCGCGGACTGGCCGGCGCCGGCCGGCTGGGTATCGCAGGCGATGCTTGCGCACTGGGAGCCTCCGTCATCCACACCGCCCTCGCCGCCCTTGCTGGCCTTGCCGACGAGGGACACCGCCTCCTCCACATCTGCCAGCACGTACACCTGTCGCCGCGTCCCGACAGCACTCGCGCCGCCTCTCTCCTGATCTCCCCCCCGCCCTGCTCCCGTGCCTGAGCCTTTCAGCGCACCTCCAACGTGCCCGGGCCCCCCCCGCAGCAGGTCGAAGGAGAGGCGAGCGCTGGGCCAGGCCAGGAGGCAGGTGAGGAGCGCGTGGCAGAGGAAGAGCGAGGGCCAGCCCAGCGTGCCCAGCAGGCCGCCCCCCGCCGCCGCCCAGATGCCCCAGCCCACGGCCCCGAACAGCCTCACGCGGCTGTAGTCGCCATCCTGTCGGGAGGGGGAGGGCAGAACCGGGGACGTGAGTCAATGTGCTTGGAGAGGAAGCAGGGCATGTGACGGGGGAGTTGATCAAGAGGGGAAGCAGACGGAAGGGATGTGCTGTTCTGGCTTGCAGCAGATGGTCCGTGCGGTGGGGGGACCACAGGTTGCCCCGCAACAGCACGTACACGGCACCAACCGATGATGGCCGCACCTCCTCCACCGCGCAGGCCGCCACGACGCTGGCGTCCACCAGGGCCGTCACGGGGGCGTCGAACGCCTGGCCCAGGGCGATCGCCAGGGCCAGGGGCCACAACCCTCCCAGGCCCCACTGCGACAGCTTGAAGAGCGTCGCGGCGCACAGCGTGCCCAGCATGATGCGCCGGTGCCAGCCCCGGCGGTCGGCCAGCGCCGACCAGGCGTAGCCGGCGGGGAGGGAGACCAGGGGGCGCAGCGCGGCGAGCTCCCCGATCCGGGCCTCTGACAGCCCTTTCTCGCGGTAGAGGAGCGTCAGGAAGGGGTTCAGGCAGCCCCCCGCGCTGAAGTAGATGAAGTACCACGACTGCCAGAGGCGGGGAGGGCGGGGGAACGGTGGCAGAGCTTGCCGCAGGGGTCTTCCCTGCGTCCACGAACGGATCCAACGAGGGGGAAAGACCCCCACACACACTGAGCAGCTGGGCCTCACAGCAGCTACCGGAGCTGCGCCGGCACCATCACGGAGCACACCACGCTCACCTTGGCTATCCACATGATGCCTACAAATATTCTGAGAGGTCCAAAGGCTCAAATTCACTGGCAACGAGCGCGTGGCAATGGAACTGGGTGAGCTGGGTCGGGGGCTGACGCCCCACCGACGGTGTGCACCGTCATGGTCGATATCGCGGGGCCCAACCGCTCTCAGCAAGCCAGGACATAGCTAGCAAGAGTATAGCTCATTCATGTCACCCAACTGGGCATTCTGCTGGTGGTCACACTCCCCTTTATACCATTGCCTTATAATATGACGGCGCGCAATTTTGATTTCGTGTCGCATTCCGGAGGCAGTCACGAGATGTGTTCCACGGCATGTCTTTGGCAAGCAACTCAATGATATATCCACGTTGATTCCTGTGACAGCGACATAGCTCGTGTTGGACTCCCAGTGAGGAGGGCTGTGCACGACCCTCCACGGTCGCCCATGAGCAGCAGTGACGATGAGCAGCCTCTGGCCGCCCGTCCAGGTGCAGCCCGGCTGATCCGCAAGTCCTTGGCGCTGGAAACTGCCTTTCGGTCCACCAGGAGTCCTCGAGGATCTCCGGGAGGCCGTCGGCGCAGTTCTGCGCAGGGGGTCACGGTGCCCGGTGCGGCACCCCACCCCCCAGCTGGCGATCCGAGGGCCGCAGCCATGGATGCGCCGCAAGGGGAGGTTCCACCCCATCAGCGCGCTGATTCAGACCCCGCCGCCCAATGCGCGGCGGAGCCTGCCGTGCCCATCACCCAGGCCTCCGTGGACCCCTCCACCCAGGCCTCCCAGGAGCCAGGCCCCTCCTCCTGCCCCAGCCCCGGCGGCGGCGCCGCCATCCCCGCCCACCTACCCCTCCTCCTCCCCGACCGCCCGCCCACCAACAAGTTCCTGCTGGAGCTGGGCCCCGTGAAGGGCCGTGCCGGCAACCTCCGCGCCACCGACCTGTCGGGCGACTCCGGCGCCATTGGGCGGCTGAACGCGGTCGGCCCCAAGGACGAGCCCCGCCTCCAGATCGACCTCAAGGGGGTGCTGTACGACGCCGGGGCCGTGGCCTGCCCCATGACGCTGGCCGTGCTGAATGTTGGCAGCGCCGACGCCAGGCTGGAGTGCCTGTTCCAGGAGTGCATCCAGATGCGGTGAGGCGACCTGAATCATGAGGGGCAGTGTGGGTGTGGATTTGTGTGTGGGTGTGATGGGAGAGGGGACAAGGTGCAGGGAACCATGTCTGCAGTGCCCTTGGGGTCGGCTTCATGTGGCAGGGTTGGCCGGTATCGTGTGGGAATCTTGTGGCAAGCTGTTCGTCGAGCAGGAAGAGGCATGGAGGTCCAGGGTCCAGTCACTCTTCTTCAGAGCATCGATCTGATCCTCTTTCCTCAGAGAGGACCCACGCCAGACTGGTGAGGTGGCTGGGACAAGCTCCCTGTTCGAGGACGAGGACGGGCATCATGCCGCTGGGGGTGCAGCCCCAGCGGCAGGAGAGGACCCAGCAGGCGGCAAGCAGCCAGGTGGGGAGAAGCCTGCTGCGTGGGCGCTACCTTTGTGCATTTTATCTACTGAAGGGGCGCAGAGGGCAACGAGAAATACATGAATTACAGGCGGGCCTGCCACGTGGTTCCTCACAGGTGTTGGATCTGGGTCCAGGAAAAACAAGGGACTTGGCCTGGCATTGACCAAGCAGTCCATTTCCAAGCTCAAGCCCAAGCCCAGGACAAAACCACGGAGTACAAAGGCCAAAAAACCAAAGGGATAAGCGGGCAGGCCGCGGCTGTTGTAACTGATGGCTACATATCAAGGCAGTGTGTAATGAAAGCTGTGGATGCGTGGGGGCAGGTGGCAGGACTCTGCCACTCTAAGAAAACTTTTGGTTAAATTGCCTCCATGAGTCTTGGGAGCAGCCATGGCTGGGCATGTCCGGCATGTGCTGCTGCACAGTCAGTGGTCGGTTTCCTCTTCCAGATCCACCAGCATCTGCGAAGGGACAGCAGAGGAGAAACCAGTCTTCATAAGCATGGCAGATCCTTATACTACACTCCAGATCCTGTTGGATGCCAGGAATGAGGAGCGCAGAGACCTCCTCTCTTTTCCAAAGCTGCACCCATTTCCTTGCTCCACTTCTGCAACCCACCACTGACTGACTCGCCTGCAAGTATCTTGAAAAACCATCCTCCAGGTAACAGATGAGCTCCTCCTTGCCAGAGATCCATCGACCGTGGTCATCCAGCCTGCGTTGCAGAGGGGGAAGGAGGCAGCAAGGATGGGATGTGCTGTAGATCCAGGGGTTCATATCGACCTCACAACCCTGCAAACCATCAAGAAGGTGACCCTGCGCACTTGAAGTGGACAACGTCTTGCGGGTGGGCAGGCTCGCACAGGTCGGTGAATTTTGTGTCCACCTGCGTGTTGGATTGAGGGGATGTGCTTCACCATGGTCCTCCCCATGATCCATGTATGCATCCAATCTCCATGGCATTGTCGACGATCCCAACCAACATACTTTGAGGGAGTTTTTTCCAGCCTGCTTGGAGATGACGAGGTGGCCCCCATCCGCCATGCTGACAGCCAGGATGTCATCCTTAAGGCTGGTGGAGAATCCAGGGTTCTGCGAAGGGATACCGTGGGGGACCCTAAGGACTCCCCTCTGTCGTCAAAGTGTCCATGTGTCGGAAAACTACTAAACCCTGACCGAAACCCGAACGCGAAGTGTGGGACGCAATGGCTCACCTGCGAGAAGATGTGCTTCAGACGGTGCGCGATATGGTTCAGTGTTCTGTCTGCAACACTGTCGAAGTTGTGATCCTCCATTACGGCCGCGACCGCGGTGGAGTAGGTGATGTGACAATGGAGTGATGCAGGTTTAGGCTCCTGCGCCGGCCGAGGGAATGCGAAGAGCATTAAATATCAGATCAGAGTGAGAGAACATTCCGCATACAAACATTTTCAGGTATACAACGCAACATGCCTGCTCCTGTCTGCTCGAGGGCTTCATCAATACGCCGCATGACGCCCCCGACAATACGAGACCGCGCACGGCTGCGGGCCCGGATGACGAGGTCACTGCAGCTCTTAAAATCTGACGTATGGCCAACATTGTATGTGTGTGATGCCAGTGGGAATCAGACCGCGCTGCATGCTTTTTGGAGGGGTGCACAGGACGTCTACGTCTCGCCTGACGACGTGTCTCCCTCGTGGCGTGAGAGGAAAGGGGAGAATGGGTAAGCGAGCAGCTGCCCCGCCCCTCGCACCTGGCGGAGATACTTATACCGGCCATTCGTTGCAAGCCTGAATCCCACTTCAAAAATATCAGAATAATCACTTAACAGCGTCCAACTGGACCATACGTCTAAATATCTGCTTGGGGTCTGCTAAATTTCCACCTCACGGTAAAGTTTAACCCTTGCTAGTCCTGCATCCCTGGGTCCGACAGAGTCACGTTTTTGTATGTGTGCAAGGCCTAAGCACCTCTTCCGTAACGTGTTCTCAAGCAGATATGGGTCAAGTCTTCCGCAAGCATTCCGGCACCGGTGCGGCGACAAAGGAGGGTGATACGTCTGCCCACGACTCCGCCGTGAAGGCTGCCACGGTAGGGCTCCCGGGCGTGCGACAGGATTCGCGATTGAGCACGTTGCAGACCCCGATCGACAGTCTCTCCTCTATCTTATCCTATTCAGGGTGGAAGATGGGGCCATGACACCCAGATCGCACGGAAGTCTGGCGAGGTATGCGAGTGCCTGCCATGGTCGATGAGTGGTGGTCGGAAGCCATGGAGCAATCGCGTGCTGTAACGTTGCTCACTTCCTCGTCCCCACCTCGCCCCTCAGGTCCAAGCGGCACTCGCCAAGGGCGCAGAGCCTGCCGTGCAGGAAGCCCGGAATGCCGAGAACAGCGCTCGTCACGCCGCCCAGGTGTGAAACTGGGGAAGACACAGTGTTATGCCCTGGTGCGCTGTGGGACAAGCCCTGCAACCACGCTGACAGCCTCATACATGTGAATGAGCTCCTTGACAAAATATTTCTGTGCAATGTTTGCAGGGAGGACGCTGGTAAAGATGAAGGCTGCTGAGAATCTTTGACGGATGATCTATCAAGCAAACTGTTAGCCAGACCAAGTAGGCCGGGCTGCTGTACAGTGGTCAATTCCATAAGTATGTTTATTAAGCAGTTCCTTAGATGTTGACCTGGACATCCGATGATGACATGTATTATGACGGAAGATAGTAATAGACGGTACATAAGATATCTATGTAGAGGATAGTGTAAAGGAGAAGATTTTCCTGACCGATGGAAGCTTACCCGACGCTTCCGGAACCTGACCGATCCGGGCTCCGTAGTGGCCCGGCGGGGATTTCAAACCATCCGAAAGCATCTCCGTGCGAGCATCGAGGCTTTACCAATGGTTTATACATCGATTTCCAATCGTCACCCTATATACGAGGGCATTTGACTCTTCGGAGAGTAAACTCTTTCCACACAGCTCTGAGCGCATAACTGCGGATCTTCTGTGACCATAAACTAACAAGAACAGAGGCAGGCATGCCTTCCATGGTGCAAGGTGCGAGGCCCAGTACGTGCGGTATTCAACGCGCATGTGTGAGACAGTCGCCGTTGTCGGTGTGCTTCTAAAGATACAAGCCATTCCGGGCGCGTTTGGTCGCGGCCGTGTAGCAAAGTGATCCGTCAAACCGCCAGCTTCCGCCCGTTCCTTCCCACACAGCAGGAGTCGCGAGCCTCGTGCAGAGCCTGAACGCGACGCTCGTGGAGGTCTTCGACTTCGACCTGAGCCACTGCCTGGAGGATCTGGACGACCTGCAGATCGAGTGCATGGGCTCGGCGCCTCTGAACCGCTTGGCCGTGATGCAGCGCGACCGCGACAGCGGGTACGAGGACCTCCGCGACATCTGCATGGGCCACTGAAGCCCCGTGTACCATCCTCGCCTCCCATCATGGAGTTGTATGTACTCGAGCGCAGCCCGCCATCCTCGGCGGCTGGGTGATCGCAGACCTCAGAACCTAAGGCCCCATCCTTGCCTCTTCTACCCCTTCCCTAGCCTTTCATTAGCGCGAACATGCCTCATCGCGATGTTTGATACATTTCCCCCTGGATAACTCCCAGTGATGCACCCTTCACTTGAGGTGCTTGAGAGCAGCGACGACCCATTCTTGATCTCCCCCCACTCAACATGTAATAATCTGAGGACCAGCACCCGGGTGCACAAGCAAGGGTCCTTGCGTGCCACACGGCCACGTCGCGCCCTGGGGGCGCTGCTTTTCGCCTGCAAACCTCACAGCCACCCCTGCTCCACTGCCAGGAAGGTGAGCTGGCAGGCCAGGTACACGAGGAAGAGGGAGGCCGCAGCCCGGGCATCCAGCCTCCAGCGGTACGCCAGCGGTACGGAGGCGAGCATGAAGAGGGCCAGCAGGACCGAGGTCACGAACAGCAGGCCTACGCCCGGCGCCAGGGCGTAGGTCAGAGCGCCCCCCCTCAGCGTGGCCAGCAGGGTGGGGGCCCCGAAGGCCACCAGGATGTTGAACACCGGGCCCCCGAAGCAGGCCGACAGCGCCATGGGCCCGTTCCCTGCAGGGCCGGGGGGTGGGTGGGTGAGGGGGGTTCCTCGCTGTGCAAGGGGGTGCATCTTGGATGACAGGGCACACTTGTCCAGGCAGCACATTCAAACACCCCCGTTCCAACCCCTCATCCTGCTTGCTCTCTGCCGCAGGCCCGGCGCCGATCCTCAACCCGTCCATCACCCCCTCCAGGCCTCCGAACGCCAGCCCCTCTCTACCTCAACCCTCTCCATTCCTTCCCACCCCCACCTCTGTTCCTTCATGTTCCTTTCCCCCCCTCCCGCCCAGGCACCTGACTGAGCGACGCTGACGGCGGCCACCAGGTCAGGGATGCCCTGGCCCCACGCCAAGACCGTGGCCCCCAGCAGGTCCTCCGGCAGCGAAACGGCGCGACCCACGGCCTGCAGCAGCGCCACCAGCTCGCCTGCCGGGGGAAAAGTGCATCAGGGCTGTCTGGGGGGTCCATGGGTGAACACGCCGGCGCGCCTCCAACCGGCATGTGCCGACGATGCCCCGGCGGCAGGCCAGGCCTGCTGGAGGGGCGCCGGTGCATTTTTCTCTCCCGCCAGCGCAGGAAAGTACTGCTACCCACCCATACCCATCAAGACGCCCACCAGCGACGATGCGCATCCACACGACGGACTGGAGGAAGCCCATGCACGCCAGGAGGGCCGGCAGGCGGCTGGGTGCGGGCCGGCCCTCGCGCGCCGTGCAGGCGCCGCCCAGGGCGAGGCACAGGCCGGAGAGGCCGGCGGAGAGGGTGGCCCACCGCCCTAGACCCAGGGTGGGGGGGCCCAGGTCCACACCGACGAGGAAGAAAGCGGGGCCGGCCAGCGTGAGCAGCGCGGCGTGCGCCGGCGAGGGGAGGCCTTCAGGAGACGTTTTGGAGGGGTTGTTTGCTGGTGCTGGGCTGGAAGAGAAGACAGAAGGCGGGGAGCGCCGCAGCCATGCAGTGCCAGGGTGTGAAGATGCAGGACTCCTCCCGGCCCAGGCCGATCCCAAAGCAACTCCAACGCCCATACACCCAACCCCCAGTCCAGCCACGCACCCAGGCCCAGCGCTGGTGTGGTGCCATGCAGGACAAGGCGGAAGGGGCAGCGCAGGAGGGCGGCGGCCAGGCCCCACCCTCTCTTCCCACGCACGCCCGCCAGGTCAGCGAAGGGGGTGGCCCACGCCGGGGCGCGGCCGCCCTCCTGCAGGGCCGAGGTGAGGGAGAGCTTCCTGGCTGGACCGCGGCCAGACCCCGCGACGCACACTCCGATGTAGAGGCAGTAAGCGCAGAGCATGAGCGCGGGCTGCCAGGGTCGGATGGGGCCTGGCCCCAGGGTCAGGAAGGCCAGGGCGACGGCGGCGAGGTAGGCAAGCGCGTCACGCAGGAAGCTGCCGGGATGCTGCAGAAGCGGTTGGGGGTGGTTGGGCTGGGGTAAGAATGAAGGGGCAGGCATGGCTCCTTGGGGTTGTCTGCTGTCCTGCTCGTGCTGTCTGCTCCTGAGGCAGACAAAATGGATGAAAAGGTGGCCCTGGCAAGCGCCCGATGCAACACACAAACTCCTGCAGTAGGCACAGGGAGCAAAGTTAGACCCCTGATTGCCCCCGCCGTGCCCCTCACCAAGGGGGCCTGGGTGGTATCTAGGCAGATGACGGTGGGAAATACCACCCCCAGCACGAAGAGGCCGCTGCCCAAGGCCGCACTGATGTGGTGAAGCGGGGAAGACGAGGGCGAGAAGTGTTGAGAGAACGCACGACCACCGTCAAATCCTCCGTCAGACTACTGAGCCTCAGGGGGGTGGTCAACGGTCTCGCACCGAGCCGCCCACCCACCCCGCGCCTCACCTGGCGGCCAGGCCGACATCGACCTGGTTGCTGGACAGCAGGGCCGCCACCTGAGTCAGCAGGTCTGGCGCCCCATTGGCCAGGGCGAAGAGCGTGATGCCCGCCAGCCCCGCGTCCATGCCCAGGACGGCCGCCAGGCACTGCGCGTGGTGGTTGGAATGAGTGGTGGTCGGCATGGATTGGCTCCCTGGGGCGCCACTTGGTGGAGTTGCGGCAAGGGGACTGCACACAGGGGCACGCCCCATTCTTTCATCCCCTTTGCGCCACTACCGGCAAGCTGGTGCCTGCCACATTACCCGCCTGCCCGCCACAAACCAGCTGCATGCATGTCCTGGTTAAGCCCAAAAACGCCACACCTCAATGGCGGGGCACAGGAAGGTGGACGCGATCAGTGCCATTGCATGGAAGAGCGCCGCCGTCCAGACGGCGCACCCCAGCAGGACCAGGGGCCATCCGCTGCGAGGCGAGCACAGGACCCACTCCTGGTGCCTGGAGTGCCGGCACCCACCCGGACATGGATGGCCAGAGGGGCCGGGGCCGCACCTGCAGAAGGGACACAGGGTAGCCTTGTTTTGGGGGGCAGGGGTGCGGAGGGGTGTGCATGAAGATGTGGGCGGGTCATGGTTTAAACCCGGGGTGTTTGCACGCTGCTGTCCACGCCGTGTCCAACACGGACGCTCATTTGGTATCGTCACCTCCTGGGCCCTGGCTTTCCTGCTGGACAGCGTCGGCTTGCGCAGGTCGCCGGGGTGGGAGGAGAGGGCGAGGCAGAGGGTATCCCCTGGACTACAGGGCTCGGCATCTCCGGATGCTGGGGCGTCGCGTGATGCCAATATTGCCTTCGCAAGGAGCGCCAGGCACAGCACGACGATGCCTAGCCTGTGGCGGAAGTGCATGACCCCCTATGCCATGCTCGGCAGATCCCGGGGCCTGCACCGACACGGCCGTGAGCATGCCGGTCAGCAGCCTCCGTCCCGTCAGGGCGTGCCGGTCACGGGAGCAGTGTCGAGTCCAGGCCGGAATGTTGACCACGCCCTGCCCCAGGCCCTGGCAGGCATGCGCAGCGCGCCATCCACGTGCTGACCCGTCCCTGCAGCGGGGCTGCTATGCATGGATGGAGAGTTTGAACATCTCCTGGGTCAAATCTCAGGCCTACCAATTTGGTCATAGAAGCCTGTGAAGAGTGTCCGCTTACAGAACATCTGTTCAGCCTGTATAATTCGATGCTTTTTCCTGTAGGGGCCCCACAATCACCGAAAAGAGTGTGGTTCAGACCGGGGCGTCACGCAGGCACCCGGCTTCCTGAGGGGGCAAGGTATGAAATAAGCAGTGCGCGCACTAAGGCACAGATACCGGCAAAAGATTGGGGGGTCAATCCTATGATAAAATGAAGGGGATGGGATTGCTTGCATTTTCCTCAATCAAAACAGGCCAGCCCTGCATTGCGGCCTCATGGTGGGTGGGTGTGGGGGAGTGAGGCGGAGGGGCCGTGCCGAGCATGTGCTCGAGCGCCCCCCCCCCTCACCGCACAAGGCAAGCTCCTTCCGCCGCGACGTTTGCGGTTCTGCATTCTAGGTCCTGCCTGCGCGTGGCAGGCAGGCAGACGCCCGCACCGCCAGGGATGGCAGGGGGACGGGGTGCGGCGGGGGGCTGAACATTTCGTGCGGATGTGTGTATTGCATCAAGGGTGCAGTGGGAGGGGGGGCAGCACCTCCCAGCCCAAGCGGCTGTGGCGGGGCGCCTCAGGCCCCAGCGGGGAGCCCCTGGGCCGAGAGCGCTCCACCCCCTTGGTGGGGCTTGGGAGTGAAACATAGGTTGAATAGAAAAAATAATGGAAGAAAGCTATCAAGAAACATGGCGGTGCGAGGCACCGCCCCCGCCGCCTCCGGCGCAGCCAGTCGCCGCTGCGCCGCCGCTCAGTGGTGCATGGACGGCGGGCCCATGCCCCCACCCTGCAAGCTGCTCAGGTGCGCCCAGACCGCGGCCGCCGCCGCGGGGTTGGACCCCGGCTGCGGGGGGTGGGTTGGTCAGGGTGACGAGCGGTGAGCACCATGCCGGAGGCAGTCGAACAGACCCGGCCGGTGCAAGCATGCGTGCATGGGAGCATACCAACCATCATTCTCTATGTCATACCCCTCTCTTCTTTCCCCTCCCTCTGCCCCCCACATCACGCTTGGGTCCCCCCCCCCCCCTCAAAATAGGCCCCCTCACCTTGAGGTCCCTGCCCTTGTTGTGCAAGTCCTCAGTCTGCCCGGAAAACAGCGATGAGCTGAAGGCATTGACCAGCTGCGGCGCAGGGGGCCTTCTATGGGGGATGGAAGGCGCTGGGGATGGGGGCGTGTTTCTGGTCGGCCAGTGGGGTGGCGGGTCACCACGCGTCAGCCCGCCAGCCCAGCCACCCAGCATGCTCACCCGAAGTCCAGGCCCTGCATCTCAGCGCTCAGACGCTCCACGCCATCGCCACGCGCGCCTGCAAACGCGCCGGGGTCCGACTCGCGCGTCACAATGGGGTAGCCCTCCGGCACGGGCGACAGCGGCGGCACGGACGCACCGCCGCCGCCAAACTGCGTGGCAGCCAGCGCGGCCGCGGCGGCCGCGTTCTGCTGCTGCAGCATGCTCAGCGCGGCGCCGTAGTTCAGCTGCCCCACCACGTCCAGCTCGTCCAGGCTCATGCGCGCGCGCGCCTGGTCGTAAGAGGTGCGTGATGACTCCCAGGAGTCACGGTCCATGGGCACCGCATCTGAACCCTGCTGCTGGTACAGGAATGGCGCGTACCCTGGTGGTGGTGGTGCGTGTGTGTGTGTGTTAGAGAGGGGTGGGCGGTGGAGTATTCTGGGAACAAAGGGGAGGGGAGGGGGGGGCCCCAAGGGCATGGAGCCGTGGTGGGGTGACCTTGGGCAAGAGCACGCAACGCAGGGTGGACAGTGCTGCAAGTCTGCAAGATTGGCACGGCGACGGCAGGCACAACCGTCCACATGTCCGTCCCGACACCCCCAGAGTTCGTCAGCTCCACATTGACAAGGCGGCCAGCGAGGGAGGGGCAAGCACCCCCTCCCACAGCATCGTATCTCACCCATTCGCTGCTGCTGCTGTTGTTGCTGCTGCTGCTGCTGCTGCTGCTGCTGCTGCAAGGCAGAGAGGCTCTGCATCATCTGCAGCCTGGACAGCTGCTCCGCCGTGACCTGGGAGGGCTGTGTGTGGGTGGGGGTGGGGGGGGGGGGGGGC